GATGAGTTATCCTGAGTTTGTTCCTGGTTTTGGGGAGCCCAGATGAGTTATCCTGAGTTTCTCCCTGGTTTTGGGGAGCACAGATGAGTTATCCTGTGGGCTGTGGAAGAGCACAGGGACAAACCCCTGCTGGATTTCCCCTGGATCTCCTCCCAGTTCCATCCCTCCCTCCTGCCCCTCGGGGGTCATCCTGGGTGTCCCTATTCCCGCTGGGATCCGATGGGGAGGGGGCTCCCCACCCTTCCCACACAGACCCCTCCATTCACAGCTCCCTCCTGTTAATTTGTTGTGGCCAGGAGCAGCAATAGCTGCTTTGTGCTGAGCGGGGGAAGGAGGAAAAAAAGAAAAAAAAAAAACAACAAAACAAACCCAGCCCAGACAGCGGCTCCAGTGTTTTCCAGCAGGGATGGTTTTCCCCCTCCGTCCTCCCTCTCCCTGCCTGGAATAATGTTTGTGATTGTAATGGCCTGTCCTGCCCAGGGAAACCCGGAGCCTCTCCCCCTTCCCCTCCCCTCCTCTGTAAACCCTGGGAGAAGTTTAAACAACCCCGAGAGGTTTTTTTTTTCTCACCGGGCTTATTTTACTCATAGGAAACGAGGGGGTGAGAAAAAGGGAGCTGGGAGGTGTTGGCAGAGGAGGAGCTGAGCTCGGGAGAGGCTCTGGGATCTCTCTGGGATCTCTCTGGGATCTCTCTGGGATCCCTCAGAGCCAAACCCTTCCCTGCTGGAGCCCCCCGGGATGGTCCCACCCTTGGTGTCCCCCCGTTGCCACCAGCACAGCCCAGCAAAGCCAGGGATGTGCCACAAACCTGAGCCCTGCTTGGTGCCTGAAACATTCCCCAAAAATCCCAAACTCCTGCAGGGCTGGAAGGGTGGGAGGTGGATGTGCACAGCTCCAGCAGGGACACAACAGGAGCTTCTCAAGGAAGGAATTCTTCCCTGAGAGGACAAAAATCCTTCCCTGGGAGGAGAAAATCCTCCCTTGGGAGATGGGGAGGCCCTGGGATGGAATTCCCAGAGCAGCTGTGGCTGCCCCTGGATCCCTGGAAGTGTCCAAGGCCAGGTTGGGGCTTGGAGCCACTTGGGATATTGGGAGGTGTCCCTGCCCATGGGATGAGTTTTAAAATCCCTTCCCACCCAAACCAATCCATGGCTCTGGGATTTGATTTTCACCCTGGAAAATCCCAAGTGTTTCCTTTCCATGGGATACAAAAGGGGAAAAAGAAAAAAAAGCAAAACCCTGTGGCCATTGGGGTCCCTGTGGCAAAGCCCCTCAGGAGGGAGGATGCCCAGGTCTGGGAATGCTGCAGCTCCTGGGAATCCTGGGGCTGGAATCCCTTCAGGAACCTCCCAGGACAAATCTCTTCTCCTCCATCTGGTCCCTGTCACTCCGTGCTGGAGCTGATGGCAGCTCTGGAGCTGTTGGAGGATGGAATTTTCTGGGATCCTGTTAAATCTGAGCCCTGAGCACTTCCACTGAATCCTTACTCGTGTCCCTTTTTCCCTATCCCGGGCTGAGCTTTGCCCCTGACAGAAATAAATGGATACATTTGTGCTTTTTGCAGGAATTTAGCCATTGGGATTGGGATCCAGAACTTCCCAGAGGGGCTGGCTGTCAGCCTGCCCCTGCGTGGTGCTGGATTCTCCACGTGGAAAGCTTTCTGGTGAGCTCTGCCCCTGCTCCTGAT